CCCCAGATGATGCAACTTGTGGGCATCTTCATGTTAAGGTATTTACCAATCAGGCTATGTCTACACTGTAGGCTTCTTGTGCAAGAAGCTTTTTGCAGAAAAGATCTTCCACAAAAACTTGCACAAGAGCCCATCCACACTGCAAAAGCGCATCGGAAAAGCGATGTGCTTTTGCACAAGAGAGTGTCCAGACTGCATGGACGCTATCTCACAAGAAAGCTCTGATTGCCATTAACAGAATGGCCACCAGGGTACCTGTGCTTCTTTTGATAAGCTTTTTTTGGACAAAAAAAAACCCCATTTCCCGTCCACACACACCTTTTTGTGCAAGAGCTCTTGCGCAAAAAGGAGATATTCCTCGTAAAAAGAGGAATACCTAATACCACAAAAGTCCCTCGTTCTGTTGATTCACTATAAATTTTCTTGTGCAAAGACGCACTCGAGCTGTGGACGGTCCATGAGTTTTTGCCCCAAACTGGCCAATTTTGCCCAAAAATACTGTAGTGTAGACACAGCCTCAATGTCACACTTACAAACAGGTGTATAATCAGAAAAAACATGGCACTGTCTGTCGCATTTCCGGGAAGCGAGTGTGTGTGCCTTCCTCTTTGCTTGTGTTTTTACAGGACCCTGGCATCTAGTGGCATTTGAACCAGTGGAAAGATCTGTTGCCTCAAATACCTGCAATTGCTACTGGATTCTATTCTCAGTTTTTTCCCTGTTTCTCGAACCTAGAGTGACAGAAGCAATGTGTCATGCCGTTCTCTACAGCCCTAGCCCAGATAGAATAATCTCTTTCCAGAATAGCGACATACTTCACTGACTTCTTTCTGCACGCATGTGCTCTGCCACCCAATTTAATGCAGAAGTTCACTGGAGGGAGAATCGGCCACAGCTATATGTAGCCTTCCAGAGTAGAAAGACCCCCCTCCTCACCATGTATGACCATGCCCCAATACTCTGTATTCTTAGTCTCTTGTTAACCACAAAATGTGCTCCAAAGAGCCTAAAATGTCTGCTGCTCTGCGCAACCTTCTCAGGCATTTTTGTATTGGAGAACGGTACATGATCCACTTGGATCTGATTTGACTATGAACATCCAGCAGTAGCTGGTGATCAGGAGAACGATCCTTTACAGTTTTACAAGACTGATCAGGCAAGCCTCAAACCAGTACGTTGCTACACAAATGTATGGATGTGTGTAATTATAACACAGCTAACTCTTGTTTGGCTGCTTCGCTGCAGGAATGGTAGATTTTTAAGTAGTTTTTATTTCAGTGTCATGCTGGAGAACTAGTGTTACATTTATTGCACTGGTCCTGTAGATTACAGTCTTCTCTACAGAATGAGAAGGTTACTTCATTGGCATAGCTCCAGGATGTATGTGCCACCAACCAGTGGTGGTCTGGCTGTTATAGTGGGCACCTTGCCGCAAAGCAATTGTCTTATATCTGCAATGCATCATTCACACCCATTGCCCAAGTTTGGAAAGCACTTAGCACATTATCAGTGCTTCTGGAAATAAATATTGACAATATAAATAATAAATATTTGTTAGAGTGCCTCAGCTATACGACACTTGAAGCAGGAAGTGTAGGGGCTGGACTGAGTCTGATCACTGCACTTTGTTGAGAGTTGTAATTGTTTTCCATTGTAATAGCAGAGCTGCCAGAATGTGTCTCCCCAGTCTGGGATTGTAGGAAAGGAATTGACAGCCATAGGACCAGTCAGATGGTGCAGAGATGTTAGACTGGCATGAGGATCAGAATGCCACTAGATTTCAGGGCCATGATTGAGTGTATTCATTGGCTAATTTGCAGAATAATTTGGGTGTCAGTTGCCTGCAATCTTGTAGGTCATTATGTGGCATCAGAACCCGCCAGATTCTCATTGTATCTGGTGAGAAGACAGTCTTGCAATGGGAGGTAAGCATTTACAGCACAAACCGACTTCAACCTTCTGAATCGCCACCTTGAGATAAGGATAGTGTGGTGCCACTAAATCAGTCGGTGTGGGTTGTGCCAGTAAGAGGGTATGTCTACACTGCAAAGTTAATTTGAAATACCAGCCATTATTTCGAATTAACTTTAATAGTGTCTATACATTCAAACCGCTATTTTGAAATTAATTAGAAATAGTGGAGCACTTAATTCAAATTTGGTAAACCTCATTCTATGAGGAGTAATGCCAAATTCGAAATAGCTATTTCGAATTAAGTGCTGTGTAGACACTTAATTCGAAATAGGAGGCCTCCAGCCCTTCCCAGGGAGCCCTAGTGGCCACTCTGGGCACAACCAGGAAAACTTACTCTCCTCTCCCCCAACCCTGGAGCGCCCCTGCCCCAGTGGCCCAAAAACCTGAGCCAGCAAGTCATTGGCAGCCAGCCCTCCTCCGCTCCCCAGGAGCAGTCTGCCAGCTCCCAGGAGCCTGACAGGGGCTGGAGAAGGCGGGCACCTTCCTGGTCCAGGGTGGAGATCATGAACCTTATCCAGGTTTGGGGGGGATGCCCCCAACGTCCATGATCACTGCACTAGATGGAGGAATGCAGCCGTCTATGGCAGGATAGCTGCCAGCCTGGCCACCAAAGGCCACATGCGAACCCAGGAGCAGGTTTGCATGAAGATCAAGTTGGTCCAACGAGACCCCCCCAAACCTTGGGCCCTGAGCTTCCCCTCCCCCTTCTTCCCTTTGTTTCCCCCTTCCAGCTCCCTCCTTCCAGGTTTTCCCCTCCCCTCTCCCACCCTTTCTCTTCCCCTCTCCCACCTCCTTTTCCCAGTCTCCCCAGAGGTTCTCCCCTCCCCCAGTTTTTGTTCAATAAACCCAGTTTCTATTTTTGAACATACGTGTCTTTTATTTGACATCAGGAAGGGGAGGCTAGGGAGGGGTAAGTGGAAGGACATGAGGGAGGAATGGGGCACAAACCCCTGGTGGGGAAGACCGGGGAGGCTCTGAGGGCTCCTTGGGGTGGACGCTCTCCCGCAGGGCCTCCTGGATCCTGACAGCCCCCCGATGGACCCCCTGGATGGCAGCCTGCAGCAAGTGCAGCCGAGCTGATGGCAACGACCCCATGAGATGCATGGATGTGCCCAGGGGTAGCTCTGGCTCCATGTGACCAAATGCTGTGGTGTCCTGAGTGTGGGCAACATAGGTGTGCACAGCACATTTCATTAGGGTGTGCACCCAGGGAATTTTATTTTTTTAAAGGCGAACATTTATTGAATACTCAATCATAAAGGACATGCTGTGAGCGAATGCGGGCTTTCTATACATTTCTACAACATCTATATTACGCAATTTGGCGATTATTGCATAATACAACAATCCATACTTTAAAACTAAAAGAGCGTATCATGTGATTAAATTAAAATGCAAAGCTACTTTTTTTGAGACATTAGGGTGTGCCTGGGCACACCTGGCACATCCCCTGCGCACACCTATGGTGAGCACTCCAAGACAGGACTGCTTTGCTGTCCCTCATCGAGGTATACAAGCAAGTGAGGAACCCTGAGAACTGTCTGTCCGGGGTGGAGGTGGGGTCCCTTTAAGCACAGAGCTCAGTTAGCCTCAGGCATCAGCCCCACACACTAAGTACTAACCTGATGCCCTGCCGGCACTGGTTCTGGCCAGCCTTAACTTTGGTTCAGGGTCCACTCAGTGTGGACATGCTATTTCGAAATAGGTTTTGTGTGTAGATGCGCTAATTCGAATTAGCTTAATTCAAAGTAACTATTTCAAATTAAGTTAACTCAAATTAACACTGTAGTGTAGACATATCCAGAGAGATCAACCAGGAGGTGTCTAAGGACTTATCTGGGCTAAGGCAAGCATGATCAGGCATGAAGACTCATATGCTGCAATCCAAGATGGTACAGGGGGGCAGAATTCCCTGTCTGATACAGTCTTGTCAGATATCCAATATCTAGTTGTTTGGTACAGGGAGGGAAGGTAGGGATAACGAGAATTTCCATTGCCATTCATGAACATTTACTAATTTGGCAGAAACCTAATGCGGTTGAGTGAGTTGACTAGCTTCTTATTTTACCCCCCCAACCAATAACAAGCAAGGAAGAGCATGGATCATTGACACAGTGTGAAATCAGAAGTGTGGATGTACTTTACTATAGTATTCCTTTTCGTTGGGCCACATTCTTCAATTATGCAAAGGAACATTTGGGGGGTGGGTCAGTCTGTGGGCCTAAATCCCAAGTCAACAAACACATGCTGATGCTTTACCGTATGGAAACCATAATATGACCCCCAAAAAAGATGGTAGTCGAAATGTCTAACTGCCAGGTAACAATTGGAGGTTTGACAGACACTGTATTATCATTAATGAAAGCTGCAGCCAAAAGCTTAACCCAATGCACCTGTCTGGAGTTTTTATTTCTAATCAGAGAAATAATATAGTTGCTGTGGCAACAAATAACTGTACATTTTTCCTTCTTTGTGACATTAAAAACAGTAATAACTTACACTCTGGGACTGAGAAAGTCTCAAACACATTAAAAATTATGCTCTTTCATTATAGCAGATACACTCCAACCTCTCTCGGATAGGAATTCTGTGATCTCTGACACATATTGGAATAAGAGCTTTGGTTCCTCCCTCTCCATTGGTTCTCTGAGGTTCTCCAGAATTCAGAACAATGGGCCAAACTTCTCTCTCTCTTCTACAAACAGCAATTCACACTGAAGTCAACAGGCTCTGCAGCCATGTGAACAAGGACAGGATTAGTCTAATGTTATTACTGTAAGATCTATCACACTTTCTGCTGACCTCCTGTTAACAACTGCACTCAAACCAAGGAGCTAAAAGCAACAAAAACAAAGAGATGCTATAAACACTGCCTCTTGGCATCTAGCAAATGGTGTAAAGACACAACTGGAGAAGCATCCTGCACTACCTGTCAGTAACATATTAGTAAATATTTTTGTTTACCACCACCACAACCATAACATTTTCCGGGTTCGTTTCACAAATGTGATCTAGAGTTCACTTACTGTTAGATGCTGGAACAGCCATGCCCTCATGATATTTGTGGCTACTTTGGGAAAGATGCCACGCTTTTTATGTCGCTTTTTGTCCTTATCTGGATCATCATCATCACCTGTGCTGGGGGAAGCTACACTGTTGTCCAAGCCGTCACCTGTAAATATAGTGAATCAAATTTTGACTTGTGCTACCTTCAGATACTTCAGTCAAAGCCTGACTTTGGGGTATAAATTAGGTATATGATTATTTAAATGTGATATAAATTCTTTGGTACTGTAATTCCTGGGGCAGAAGGGAAGAAGACTCTCTCAGCCAAATTTTGCATTATTCTCAACTATAAGAATGACAGAACCACTTCTCTCATTTGATTCAACAAAACCACAACAAAAAAAGTGAATTAAACATCCTGCTTGCCAAGGTGGAGGAGGAAGGTGGGGGAGTGTCTTCATTATCAGTTACTTCACAGAAATCTCTCTCGGTGTTTACAGATCAGGCAAATGGTGTTTGACTCAAATTGTGGTTGGTAGTGTACTGATGATGTTTTGTCATCTTAACATTCAACAGCCGAGATGCCATATTCTGCTCTGAGAAGCAAAGCTCAAATTCAGAGTCAGCTTGCTAATAACTCTCTTGCGTCATTTGGTCCTTTACCCAAGTTCCAAGTGATGTCACATTCACTTTCACCAGGACTTGGGTGCCTCATCTCCTGTGATGCTGTTAAACATCACAGCCTGTAGAAATTCATGCCAGGGTAAGCACACATCCTTGCAGTATGTAAGCCCCATCATGTGCTGGTGCACACATCTGCATAAGGCATTTTACCAGTATAGTTACATTGATCCCGTACAATTTTTCTTAACACAGAGAGAGCCTTAAACTTGCCAGATTAGCAACTCATTTATAGGAGTATAACACTAGATATCAGAGGCTTTTGTCTGTGGTGAAATAGTGTCCTGCTGTTGAGAGAAAAATGGTTGCAGTGTATGGTCAGTCTGTGCGCCATTTTTGTTTAAACCCCAAAAGCAGTTTAGAAACAAATCTGTATAATGATTTATTCTGTTCATCCCCACATGTGGATTGAATGCTGCACCATGGCTTCCAAGACAGTATTTTTATGCTAAGTGCAGAGTTATGATGCAATTAGGCAAGTATTCTCTACACCCTGAGGCAAGAATGATCAAGAAAGTCAACTGAATTGAGCTGAATCAAGAGTTTAACTCTATTCTGTTAGGAATTTTTTGTAAATGATGAGTTTTGGACTTTCAGAATTGTAATACTTTATATAGTGATTAACTAAAAAGTAACTACAAGTTTTATATTTTTAGAATTTCACATTTTTATGTATTTTATTACAGCCTGTGGTGAATATGTAGCAGTCCTTATGACTGGTTGTGTGTATTTAATTCAAGACTTGACACAAATATTCACATTTATATATATACACAAGGTCTTTATGAACAGTCTATATATCTTTGGCTGATAAATTTTTTGAAAGCCCCATATGTTTAAAAAAAAAAAAAAGAAAGAAAAGAAAAAGAAAAAGAAAAAGAAAAAGAAAAAGAAAAAAGGCTTTTATACAGAGAAGCAATTTACCATATAAAATAATAATTCATAAAAGAAACATGAGCAAAGAAAACTCAATAGCATTTAAAATTTCCATGGGCTAATCCACTTTCTGAGAGACAAGAGCAAGGAAAAGAAAAATATTACATGTCCATTGATTAAAAATTAAAAGCTGCTAACCTAATGACATGATCTTTCACCACCTCCTTATGATTGTTTTACCACTATTTTTAAAATATACTTTCTATCCATTTCAAACCCTCTTCAGATTAATTTAGTAAGCAATGCCTAGTGCCTGACTAGAAGAGAATTCATTGATAATTTATGGAAATATGTACTATAATCCAAAGGAGATGACTTTTTTCCAGCTTTGTGCATCAATAGATAATCAAGGCCTTAAAGCAGCCTTAGCTTCCCATTACCTCAGGCAAAAGAATTCCTGAAAGCATGCCTTCAGGGCACCTGAATTATATACTCCATTAGGAGAGGAAAAGCTTTCTGCATTCCATGTATAACACTCCCCAGAACCTTTCCTGTTTATTTCTGCTGTATGAAAGCAGAAGCATTAGGAACAGAATTTTTTAAGTGAAGACTTATGTAGATACAATGGAGAAACCTTTCAAGCGAGAGCCAGATCACCTCCTTCAATCCCTGGCAGTGACCTATCCCAAATAAAAGGTTTCTGTTACATCATTAGCTCAAGCCAAAAACAGCCTTGGCTTAATGCACAGTTTGTTCTTCCTACTGTTTTTAGGCAAATACAGCTACTTTGCTCCCATCTGGGAGGGAAATTACACTGCTGGGTTGTAATATAAGACAAGATTTTCATTGGAAGCAAATGCTTTCAATCCAGTATAAATACTGGTGCATGTTCAGAAAAGCCTAAAACAATAAACCCTAGTCCTGTCCGACACAAGTTAGGGAAGGCGAAAGGGGGAAGTGGCTAGTAAAGCAACAAACTATTCTAAAAGCAAATACTTTTGTATATTTTAATAAATTGTGTAACCTCTTCTACCTTTTTAAATTGAAAATTGATTCTGTAAAGAACGAAACCTCAGAGGAAAGTCTAAATGGTCAATTGTGTTTTTTAGCATGTCCATTCACTTGGTAATTTGATACACAGTCACCTCTATGAGGTCTCCAGAGAATTTCTTTCCTTTTTTTTTTTTTAAACCACCACTAACCAAACTTGAAGAACCACTGACCAACCACATGGTAGCAGCTACGAACCACATTTGTAAAATGTCAGCAGTGACTTCATTCCTGAAGTTGACTTCTCCTGCCGCAAAATGAAGGCAAACTGAAAAGGTGGAAATAATCATAAAAATGATGCTAGTCCATAAACAAGCTTACAGCCTCATTAGTATAGCAGTAGGCTCCACTGGGTGATTTATGCTCGTTTTGCTGATGCCATGAGGAAATGCCATAGGGCAACTTTAGCCAACTGCTAATGGTTTCTGACAGCTTCTTAGCAACTAGTGCAAGCAACGTTGTGGCGTTTGCTAGTGACAGAAACTGAAAATGTCATATTATCTGCCCATGTGTCACGAAGCCCGTGTGGCAATTAACTAGTAGGCCAGTGACTGAGGGGCCAGAAGCTCTTAAAAATGGCCTTTGGCTATTCAGGGGAAGAGTATGCACACAGCTTGCATTTGTGTTGCACATATGCAACATTTTAATGCAGAAATCTGGTTCACACAACCTCCTCCTCGGTCACTGATGAGTTTGGTCCACTCAAATCCTTTGTCTGCAGAGAAACTCCAAGTTGCTTTTCTCTGTAGGCATTGCATGACATTATCAGAGGCATTTAAAGTAATCTGTCTTGATATGATTGTTTGAAATGGCACTTTAATTGGCAATACCTGATTCTCTATTTTTGAGCACTGAATCCAAAGGTGCTAGCTGTTTTTCTGCTCTCTCACAAATTAGTCTAAAAGGATTTAAGATCACTGAAGCAGACTCATTGCCTGTCAAATTGCTAGGAGCAAAGGAACTCTGCACAGCAACTAGACACTATTTAAAAAACACCGAGCCTATAACAAGCATAAGGAGAGTCTTGGCTCCACATTTCAGTTTTCAAGCTATCAAAACCATGCACTATATGTCAAACTGTCAAACCTTTCAGCATGGCCATTTGCCCTTTCAAATAATATTTAAGAATTGTTTTTACAAAATTTTATAGGCCATGGTCTAGTGAAAGAGGCCAACCAACAAAGAAAGGAATTTGTACTACAATTCGTCCATGGACAATTTCTTGTGAGACCTGGACCTATCCCTATGGAGTAAGGCAGGTGACCTGTGGCAGCTCCCAGGCTGTCAGAGAGCTCAGATTTCAAACACACTCGACTCAAACGTCCCAGAGTTGCCTATTTAAGCACACCCAAGCATTTAGGCCGTGCTATCTTGTTCCTTTCAAGAAAGGATAAAGCAGCATTTATTGTATTCAGACCATTCAATGGGTCAGACTGGCCATGTCAGCAGGGGTTCCTCTCATTCAGGTCAACCTCCCCCTATGCCCCCGGACACATTCTCCTCCTCCAACTTCCCTTCTTTCCCTTTTCTCCACACCCCAAAATTTGTAGACAGAAGCAGCAAAAGGCAAGAAAGTTTGTAACAATCTCATGGCATGCAAGTACTCCCGGTGTTTATGGGTGATCAGTTATAGACATCTGTTGGCAAAATAGGTACTTAGGAGACTAACGTTACATTCATTCATGATAATGATGTGCTACAGCCACAAAAGTCTTTGACAAGTTTAAACATTTAGCCTAGTTTTACAATGAGCCAAAAAAATATAAAAAGATCTTACTGAACTATTAAAAGAAAATATAACTTTTCATTACCTACATTAGGTCCTGGCTAAATGTTCAAACATAGAAACTGGAATATAAATTCCTACATCCATATTTAGGGATCTAAGTAAATATGGTCCAAATCTGCAAAGATACTGAACACTCCTACCTTGAATTCATTTGAGTAAGAGCTGCAGAGACACTTAGCACTTTGGAAAACATCAGGACAACTTCTTATCTCTGAGATCCCAGTCCCACAAACTTATGCACATGAATGACTTTTATATATCAGAGCTATTTATACATTTATACCTATTGAGTTCCGTGGAATTACTCACAGGTGTAAAGTTAAGCACATGAATAATTCAGAGTTTAGGAACACCCATGTTGGGAATTTTTGGCCATAATTTATACATCAAACAAATGCAAGAAAAAATTTGGCTTATTCTATGTCATTTGTTTCTAAATACACAGTTGGCTTGAAAATCAAGTCATTGCCTCACATATTTTCACCCCAAAAGAATCTCATTAATTGTCTTAGAAGTTAACTATAACTCCTAAGACAAACTGATAAATATACTGTTCCCCACACAACATTTTCACAATGCACAATTTTATGCAGTAAGTTGCTATTTCACTGTAAGTAACAGTCACACAATCAAAATTGCTTTAAAAATATTAATATTTTTCCATTACGAGAACACTTCTTCTTAAAAGGCTACATTCCAATCCTTGCCCAAGAGCTGAACATTTTGAACATTTTAAAGAGGTGTTATTCAGGGGGATTATACTGGTTAAA